AAAGAAAAATAAAAAAAAATAAAATAATATAAAGAGAAAAAAAAATAAATAAAAACATTAATGTTGCTCAACAACAATATATGATTTTATTTTTATTTTTTATATATTTGTATTTTGTACATACATATATGTAAATACATGTATTTTCATATTTTCGATGACTTCATACACAACGAGAGTAAGATTCTTCAGACTTTCTTCGGCTGTGAACGAGTATTGGGCAGTCGGTAATGCTCTGTGTAGCTCATTTTAAGTAATAAACTTACTTCTATTGCGTAGCCAGACAGTCAGTGGAAATTACTAGCTGACCTCAGTGGCTCTAGATGTCGGGACGTTCAGTGCCGTTCAGTGCTCCGCCATGGCCGACCTGATCAGCTCACTGCTGCGATTTGTCTACTACTACTCCATGCTGATGGGCGTGCTGAACTTTGGGGTCGACTGGCCCACGGGTCGAGCGCTCATCACACGCCGAGTCTCGATCTACGCGGCCGTGGTGAACGTGATTACCATTTGCAGCCTGCCCTGGCTGTGCGGCACACAGGTAATTGACTCGCTGTGGCCGCGGACGGAGCACTTGCACGATTACCTGTACGTGGCGATCCAGGGCGGTCGCGTGCTCTGTGTGTGCGTGACGCTAGTGGCGCGCTGGKCGCATCGGCAGCGGTTCATGCGACTCGTGAACGCCTTTCAGCGCCTGGCGCAGCAGAAGCCCCGAGTGAAGCGCATGTGGCGACGCGGCATCATAAGCAAAGTGCTGAGCGCGTTTCTCATTGACCTCCTGCAGACGATCGTCCTGCTGCAGCGAATTTACGAGGAGTTCACCGTTGCACTGGTGCTCACGGTCCTCGTTGTGCACATACTCTCCGTGCTCGTCAACCTGATTATCTCGCACTACTACTTCGGCCTGCTCAACATCTACGCCCACTATATCCTACTCAACCTGGAGCTGCGCTCGGTTCTGGCCGAGGTGCGACGGCTGGAGTTTGAGTACCGCAAAGGTGTCTTTGCCATCACGTGTTGTGCCCTGGCCGACAAGCTGGAGGCGATAGCCGCCACCCAGTCCCAGCTGCAGAAGCTGCTGCAGATCTTAACCAGCTGCTTCGGCCTGCAGACCGTGCTGATCACCATCAGCTACTACATGGCGGGCGTGGCCATGATCTACTTAGCCTTCTGCGAACTGACTGGCGACATTCGCTTGGACTGGAACGTAAGCAACTTGGTGCTGCTTAGCTTACACTTCGCCTGCTACTTCGCAGACATTTACATATCGGTCAACATAATGTACTCCCTGCTGGATGCACACGCCGAGATGCTGGGCCTGCTCTCGGAGAGCACAATCCTCGCCCCGGGCCTGGACCGGCGACTGGCGAGTGTCGTAAGACAATCACGATTCAGTTTCATATAAGATCAATCACATCTAACATTTTCACACAGTTTGACAGCTTTCAGTTGCAGCTGGCGTGGAATCCCTTGAAGTTCTCTGTGCTGGGACTCTACAACATGGAGAAGTCGAAGGCAGTCACCTTGGCCAGCTCAGTGGTTACCAGTTCCCTGGTGCTCATACAAAACGACTTCAAAAATGCATATTTATATTAGCTGAACCCGTTTTCAATAAACAATTCGATTATATGATAGTAAAACTACAGCTTATTTCTGGGGACCGTGTGTGATTTCCCTAAGATAAACCAGAAACCAAAGAATTTATTATTACGTTTTATTTGTTTCGCTTAATGGATTTTAATGAATTTAGCAGCATATAATCTACATATTCTAGTAAATATGTTCCATATTAGAAAACTTACCAAATCACTCTTATATCGGCTAAATTTGCAAATGACCTTTGATATATAGAATTCCGCACATGTTTAGCCTGTACTCAAAATTCAGCAAAAATTAAAATTGTATAAAATACACATTAATCTACATAGAAAACTTGGTGACTCTCATATCCTATAGTATTCGAGATAAACTCTTATACTCTTATACATATAGACAAAGAGTAGAATATATATCCTTATTTTATGGCGTCAGCCACGGCCCTTTCTGCCGTTTACATACATTTCAATCAAATTCTGATTTTCGTTCAGCTTCAGTATGTAAAGCTCATCGAATGACAACGGTAATTACTATTACTTATTAGGGTCGTTCCATTAGGAAATTAATTCAAGCTGCCTATTATCATATCAGTCAATCAGTCATTGCATCAGAGGGGTCTATACACAATTGGAAATTGCAATTCATTTCAGTCCCACACAATGTTCGACCCGGTGAAGTTTATTCTGCGCTTAGTGTACTTCTACTCGCGGCTTCTGGGCGCGCTCAACTTTGAGATTGATTTGAGAACGGGACGAGGTCGGATCACGCGTCGGGCCTCGATCTACGCAGCTGCGGCAAACGTCATGATCTTCAGTCAGCTAATCTTGTTGAGTAACAGTGAACTCATGCACACGATGTGGCTCAAGGCCGGCGTGCTGCCCGAATACCTCTACCTGGTCATTCATACGACGCGGCTGAGCTGCGTTTCGGTCACTCTGCTCAGCCGGTGGTGGCAGCGCCGTCGCCTGATCGAGCTCATCAATGCCCTCAGTCGACTGGCGTTTCGGAAGCCGGAAGTAACGAGAATGTGGCGACATCGAGTTGTGATTAAGTGTCTTAGCATTTTGTTGTCGGAAGTCTTTCAGGTCATCCTAACTCTATTCGTGTTCCAACGCCTCATGACAGTTTACATGGCTGTCAGCATTATAATGCTGTATGCGCTGACTGCGTTGGTCAATGTCATCATCTCACATATCTACTTCATAAACGTGAATGTCTATTGCCACTACTGCCTGCTCAACCGGGAGTTAAAGGCGGTGCTCGTAGCGGCTCGATCGCTGGAGGCTGAACCTGGCCTGCGCACTACGCGCATGAGTCGATACTTCACTCTGACCGATCAACTGGAGGACATCGCCCGCACGCAATCTCAACTGCAAAGCCTTTTGCAATGCTCATCTCGCATCTTTGGCATTCAGAGCCTGTGCGTGTCCGCCATTACCTACATTTCCGTGATGGCCACCATCTACTTTACCATTATCGGCTTCAACGTTACCAAAGCCATTCCCAGTTGGAAGTACGTGAACCTTCTCCTGTTTTGCGAAACCTTCTTCTACTTTGCGGATGTGGTGATTACCATGGACAATCTGTACATTGTTCTAGACGTTCATGGCGAAATGCAGAGTCTGCTACAGCAATTTTCAACRTTGGCTCCGGGTCTAGACTCACGCTTCGAGATGGCGGTAAGTGGATATATTCGCTTCAATCACCAGATCTAATGGATTGCCAATTCCTTTCAGTATGAAAGCTTTCAGCTGCAGCTGGTGCGCAACCCATTGAAGTTCAAGCTCTACAATCTCTACAAAATGGATCGCTCCACGGCTGTCGCCATGTTCAGCTCAGTTATAAGGCATTCTCTGTACTTGGTTCAATATGAGGTACAAAATAGATCAAAATAGATACTACCGAGCTCAAAGCTTGAAATTAGGTTATTTGTTTTCCTATTGGATTTTCAGTTATTCTATGGGAGTATTAAATTTCAGAACTGGATGGCTTATAAACCAACCTATATTCCCATGAAATGCAAATATGATTTAGCTCATCGACATATTTGTCCCATGTAATGGACTTTATTTAACTGAAATCCCTGCCCTAGTCAGAAATTGAGCAACGGTCTAAATATTAATTTCACATTGACCTTATCGAGATGGATCCAATATTTCAACTTTATTCTGATAAAATATAAGTAATATTCTTGAACTCCTCATCTCAAATAATGAATGTCTGGCCTTAAATATACATAAATGTGCTTTTCATGCTTTCGCACATTTATATCATATATCATTAAATATTTTGATCTTGTCATTCATGCACAAGATTGGATTTAATGACTTTGAAAAATATTTTAAACTATAATTATAATTTAAAGCTTTGTCAGTTGGGCCATCAGCTATATCAAATTCTTTATGTTATCAACAAATCAAAAGTTGTGATGTGATGATGATATTCGTGTCAATTTTAGTCTTTAATAGATTTTAAAGTTTCTTGTTGAAATGAAACCCCATTACATATACAATAAAACGTCTTACCAAAAAATAGCCATGTAATATTTACATCTGCAATATCGGCATTTATCTTATAGACATCTAAATACTGCTTATATTCATTTCCTTTAAATTTCATGAGCTCTCAGCTGCAAGTCATATGCAGTCCTTACACAATCTTCCTCTCCTATCATCTAAGAGGTGAACAAATTAAATTTTACAGTCTTTGCCAGTTTATTTAGAAATCAACTGTATGCTAGGAATTTAAAGACATTAAAAATACAAATTTAAATTTAATTTAAAAAATATGCATTTTATCCATCAAATGTAAGCCTCAAACCAAAAGAAAAACAAGAAAACAGGCTTTGACAATTGGTCTAATACACTAGCCGAAATTCCATTTGAGTTGATTGGTTAAAGGTAGCTTAAAGCTATTGCTTTAAAAAGGATTTTATCGACCTGACAGGACTGAGTGTGTGGGTGTGTGTGTTAGGGAGGAGGTGTGCAGCTATATCTTTTCAACGCAAACGAAACGAAGCTCTGGGCAATTTATGAGACGGCCAACAAAAGAAAACACAATGTTCCTTGGACAGAGGCACAGAGACAGTTTGAATTTGAGCTGGGGCAAAGGAAGGCAACCAGAGCCAATGTCCTGGCATTTATTTCGGTATCTCTGCGAGAAGAATGGGCGGARCGGTGGGCGCGGCGAGGCGA